AAAGACTTGGACTTGGGACTTGGTACCAAAGACTTGGACTAGGGACTTGGTTCCAAAGACTCGGACTTGGTACTTGGTACTAAAGACTTGGACTTCGGACTTGGTTCCAAAGACTCAGATTTGGTACTTGGTACTAAAGACTTGGACTTGGGACTTGGTACCAAAGACTCGGACTTGGGACTTGGTACCAAAGACTTGGATTTGGGACTTGATAATAAAGACTTGGACTCGAGACTTGGTATTAAAGACTTGGACTTGGGACTTGGTTCCAAAGACTCAGATTTGGTACTTGGTACTAAAGTCTTGGACTTGGGACTTGGTACCAAAGACTCGGACTTGGGACTCTAACTCAAAGACTTGCCGACATCCTTGGTGATACTGCCACCAGTTAAGCCCAAGGGTTTCAGTGTGAGTGGAGGGACCTCATCACAAAAGACTCCGTGGGGATCCCTCCCGCCAATAAACTGGACAACGATTGGAACGTAGAATAGAATCCAAGCTTTTGTGTATGTGTGTGAATGTGTGTGTGTGTGTGTGAAAGAGAAAAGAATGACTTTTTGTACTACAACTCCCAGAATCCTGCAGCCATCATGGCCACTGGGGGATGCCAGGTCTTACAGTCCAGAGAGAACAGCTTCCCAAGCTCCCGGTTGCATTCCAGATTCTCCGCTTTCTCTCGTACGTCTTGTATCTTCTCCTTGGAGGTGGACCGAGAGGGTCGTCCTCCATCAAGCTCTGTAGACTTGCTCCCCTTTTCTAACCCATCTCTTCCTCTCTTTCTCTCTCCCTTCCTCCCCGGGTCAGGTGCTTTTGCCAAAGTGAAGGAGAGCCAGCGGATGAGCGACGAAGGGAAAATGGACCAGGAGGAGGCCGACGGGATCCGGAAGCGTTGCCGGGTGGTGGGTTTCGCCCTGCAGGCGGAGATGAACCACTTCCACGAGCGGCGCGTGTCGGACTTCAAGAAGATGATGCAGTCTTACCTCAAGCAGCAGATCGTCTTCTACCAGAGGGTCAGCCAACAGCTGGAGAAGACGCTGAGGATGTACGACAACCTCTAGGACTTCGGCCGGTCCGACATTTCTGACGTTTCTTCTTCGCAAAAGAGGATTTCCACCGGCTCAGGGCTTTGAGCGAACTGCAAGGCTCCCGGCTCCTCGGTCGGCTGGGACGGCTTTTATTGCTTTGCACCGGGGAGGGACAGAGGGCATCTGAACCTAAGAGGAGTGCGTTCCCACTCAGGAGCCAGGGCCATACTTACGGGGTGGAGAGGTTCTGTTTTGGAATTGGGGTGCTTCGTTCTCGGGGAGGGGGGGGCTTGAGCCCAGAGCTTTTAAAAATTCAACCCAAAATATGAAAACAGGGAACAGAAACACAGAGAGGGAGAGGAACTTTGGATACCCGCCAGTCTCAACGCAACGTTGAAATTTCTCCCTTCGTCCAAACTGATCTAAAGACATCTGAAGAAATACAACGTGAAGGACATTCCAGGGAGAAACCCTTCTTCTTCTTCTTTTTTTCCAAGAAGAGGTTTCCTCTCCTTTCTGCCGCTTGTTCTGTTTACAACCAAGACAGACAAGTTCTCCCCCCCCCTCAGAAAGAAGCAGAAGATGATCCTGTGGGTTCGCTCCCCACCTCCCCGGTCTTCTCAGGCTTCGTTTTCTCAATATGACACTCTCCTCCTCCTCTTGAGGAGATCCCTTTCCCACCTACCCTCGGGGTTCAGTGGAATAAGCATCAGAATTTGCTTTCCACAATTCTGGCAGTATAAAGGTAGACACGGTAAGGACTTGAAATAAGAGGAGAGAAAGGGGACGTCTGCGGTGTGCGTGTGTTACATTTTGGTAAACTAAAATAATTCCTTTAGGGTATTTGCACACGCACACATTCCCCCTCTTTTTTTAAAAGATTATGTGCAGAGCTGACTGTGGAATTAATTTTTTTTAATTTTTATTTTTATTTTGTATTCTAAAATCAAAATGCTGCTTGGGAACTGCAACTGTGTTTTGCTTGACTCGTTTCTAAAGGGCTCCGGTGTTGGTGGGAGGCCATGCTGAAGACCATCGGTTGTACAGTGGTGCCTCGCTTGACGACGTCAATCCATTCCAGCGAGATCGCGGTAGAATGAAATCGTCGTCAAGCGAAAGTAAAAAGCCCATTGAAACGCATTGAAAACCGCTCAATGCGTTCTAATGGGCGAAATACCTCAGCGTCCAGCGAAGATCCTCCATAGGGCGGCCATTTTCCGATCCCTGTTAAGCGAAAAATCCATCCTAAAAACAGCGGGGAGCCATTTTGCACAGCGGGCGGCCATTTTGAAACCCGACGATCAGCTGTTTTTAGATCGTCGTAATGCGAAGAATTGGTTCCCGAAGCAGGGAACTGATCATCGTCAAACGAAAATCGTCCTTTGAAACATCGTTTTGCGGTCGCAATAGCGACAGCAAAAATATTGTTGTCAAGCGATTTTGTCATTTAACGAGGTAATCGTAAAACAGGGCACCACTGTATAAGAGGAAGAATCCTCATAGAACGGTGGAGGTGGAAGGGGTCCTATGGATCACAGAGTGTATCTCCTGTAAAGGATGCCCAGGAGGGGAATCGAACCCTCAACCTCTCGCTCTGCAGCCAGATGCCTAAATATTTGTTACTTGGTGATTTTTAATTTGGTGCAGAAAGGGACAGATCCATGCGAAACACGCCAGTTTTCCTTGTGTTTTTCAAAGCCATTGCACAGTTCTGCCCAGGACCGGACGCTGGACAAGAAATCAGGAACCTCTCCGGTCATCAAAATTATACTGAACTTCAGCTGAGATAGGGAGATCATAAGGGTGAGGAGCAGTTCCTGTCAATGCATGCTAGCTAATAAATTGGCCCGAAGCAGCAGCCGGGCTTTGTTTCCACAAGGAAACATTCAGAATAAATTAACAACACAGAAAGGAAACCCGGCCCAGTCTGAACTTAACCCCTGAGTTCTAGAAGAAACCAAGAGTCAGCAACTAAGTATTTAGAAAACACACATGCGCATGCACATACACAGTGACCAAAATTGTGCACAGTCAATTTGCTTTTGAAATACTCTTGTCAGCGACATGATTTCCATGTTGTTTCCACAAACGAAGCCGGGCTGACGCACATCCGTGTCACAATTTGGCCGTCCTGTCACGTGTAGAACGAGGTCCAGCTTCTGAAAAGCATCGACACACAGACTCTGAGCTTAAGAGACCCCCTCAGGGATCTCAATAAAATAAAATATTTTTTTTTAAAGGTAGGAGAAAGTGAGAGAGAGAGGGGAAGGTTTTTTCTGGGGGGTGTGTGTGGTAATTTGGGAGAAGGTAGTAATTTGGACAGTGAGATTATTGGAATGAGTTTTTTAAAAAGCCAAACCAACAACCCATTTTTTTAAAAAAAGCTTTTCCACACTAGTGCAGTGGGATCTCAGATTCAGCTGTAAAGCACTTTTAAACATCTAAAGCTTGAGGACATTTAATTGGGGACGTGGCCGGTTTCCCTGTGGTCTGGACGCTGAGGAGGTAAGGGTCCACGGTGTCCTCCACAAGCTTAAAAAGCTCGCTGTGGGCTTAAAAGCTCGCCGTGGGAGCTTTTAAGCCCAAGAAGAATGCAATAGCCACCCCTGGCTTTCTCCGCTGCACCACAAGCCCATGTTCGGTTTGCATCGTCTCTCGGCCCTCGTCGTCGTTCCCGGGACTTATTATTTTGATCCCGTGACGCTCAGCGCTTCTTGCAACGTTAGACTCTCAGGGTTGCCAAGAAAAGTCAGAACGGCAACAACGAAAACAGCGACAGTCATTAACATTTTATATCGTGCTTTTAAATGTTTAATGGACACATCCTGTACATTATCGTATTCTACTGCCTGGGGCCATTGCGACCGAGTAAGTCGAGGGTGCAAGGAGAGTGTGCCACCTAAGACACTCAGGTTCTTGTCTCCATTGAGCCATGAAACTCGCTGGTAACCTTGTTGTTATTGTTAAGTGCCATCAAGTTGCCCCTGATTTACGGCGACCCTATGAATGAGAGACCTCCAAAAAATCCAGTTTTCAACTGCCCCGCTCAGCTCTTGCAAACTCAACCCTGTGGTTTCCTTTAGGGAGCCAGCCCATCTCATATTTTGGTCTTCCTCTTTTCCTGCTGCCTTCCGCCTTTCCCAGCACGATGGTCTTTTCCAGAGAATCCTGACTCCTCACGAGGTGCCCAAAGTAAGACAGCCTTGGCTTTAACATTTTTGCCCCCAGTCAGCCTTCTTAACCGTCCAGCTTTCACACCCATACACGGTGTGGATGATCTTGGTGGTTGGTCTCCAGGGATCATCATCTCCTTGATGATCTTTACTAGTTCCTTCCTTACTGCCTTTCTGAGTCTCAATCTTTTCTTTTCTTAGCTGCTCATTTTCTTCTAGTCTTGCCTACCTTACAGGGTTGTTGAGAGGACAGGCTGGGGGGGGGAGAGAAGAGGATGGCCCTCCACACACTCCTGACCTTGCTGCACGAGGGGAAGAGAAGAGGATGGCCCTCCACACACTCCTGACCTTGCTGGAGGACACGAGGTGGGTTAAAGTGTGATTAAGAAATAGACCACATGCCACAAAAGCTCATGGCCAATAAAACGTGTGTTTGCCTTGACCGTTTATGGCTATAGAGATCATGATAAATACACAGAATCCAGACAGATTATTCAGTATTACGAGTTGCATATTTCTGATAAGGGAAATGTCTTGTAGTCATGTGCTATCCAGTTGCTTCTGATTTATAGGGTTTTCAAGCTGTGTGAGATATTCTAGGAGTGACATATACACGGACCTGTGGGATTTGAATGCCATTCTCCTGGGGACGTGGTGGCGCTGCGGGCTAAACCGCAGAAGCCTGTGCTGCAGGGTCAGAAGACCAGCAGTCGTAAGATCGAATCCACGGGACGGAGTGAGCTCCCGTCGCTTGTCCCAGCTCCCGCCAACCTAGCGGTTCGAAAGCAAGTAAATGTGAGTAGATAAATAGGGACCACTTCGGTGGGAAGGTAACAGCGTTCCGTGTCTAAGTCGCACTGGCCACGTGACCACGGAAGATTGTCTTCGGACAAAACGCTCGCTCTATGGCTTGGAAACGGGGATGAGCACCGCCCCCTAGAGTTGGACACGACTGGACAAAAATTGTCAAGGGGAACCTTTACCTTTACCTTTACCTCCTGATTTACATTTTATCTAGACCTGTGGTTCCCAAACATGGGTCCCCAGATGTTCTTGGACTAAAACTCCCAGAAGCCTTCACCACTCGCTCTGCTGGCCATGATTTCTGGGAGTTGTAGTCCAGGAACATCTGGGGGCCCAAGGTTGGGGAGTCACTGGTTTAAGCCACATTGCCTTCAAAGAGCATTTAGTGCCAGCCAACAAATGACTTCATGATGAGTCCCTTCGTCCCCTCCATGCCTGTTTTGTTACCAGCAGCTCTGAAGAGTTAACATCTGCAGGGTGAGTAGACCAGCCTTCTTTCTTCTGGATATCTCTACCCTGACAACAGGATCTCTCTTCATCTGCAGGGTGAGTAGACCAGCCTTCTTCTGGATATCTCTACCCCGACAACAAGATCTCTGTTCCCCCCATCCCTGCATCTTATCCCTACATATCAACAACCCGCTGCACGCCAGCCCAGAATAGAAGAACCCCACGCCAGCAAGGACGGTCCGAAGGAGAACCTTCGGCCAGCGACAGCTAAAAACAACATTGGGAACCGGAGATGAATAAAGAAAAAGCAGAGGTTTGGACAAATCTGTTTCTGTTTAACATTCCTCCTCGTTGGTTGTTGTGGGTTTTTCGGGCTCTTTGGCCGTCCTTCCTCCTAGTTCCCATTCTTTGTGGCCTGGCTCTTCGGGAGGACTGGTGCCCCAAAATGGTGCACTTGAGCATAGAGCTTAAGTGATGCAGCACAGCGAGCGAGCGAGGGAAGTGTCCATGCAAGCCACTCCTTCCCTGTGGCTGTTGGGAAAGCCAAAGGTGTGTGTTGTGTCTTACAGCATTTCTCAGCAGTAGATCTTTAGGGCATTGAATCCAGGCAGTGGGTTTCGAGGGCTTTAGCGCAACCGTAGAAGCTGAAAACACATCCATGATCCAGAGATGGGATTCTAGCACAGTGTTTGTGCACACACACAATCACAGCTAACGGGAAGGCATGCTGCGAACCGTGTCATCAATTTACATGGGTCCGTCAGGCAAATATTTATTTCTTGGGATGGATCATGGCTTCGGAGGTTGCACTCGTTTCTCACGGAGATCAGTGGTGACTTGTTTGTCCCATTGAGATCAGGGAGACTTATGTTCAGTCTTAGGGCAGGATCATCATCGTCATCACCCGCTGAGCTTATGTTCAGTCTTAGGGCAGGATCATCATTATCATCGTCATCACCCGCTGAGCGCTGCAGAGCTAGAAGGGATCCTGTAGATCATCAAGTCCAGCCTCTGTCAAGGAAGCACAAGAGGGGAATCGAACTCCCCAACCTCTGGCTCCGTGGCTGGAGGCCTAAACCACCGGGCTCTCTACCCTGTTTATCCAAAAAGGTCCCCAAAAGACAGGACACCCTAGAGACTGCACGCGTGGCAGAATTTTTAAAAAAGAGAGCCTCAAATGTCAGTTCGAGAAAAATCACTTCCAAATGGGTGTGACTCCATCCCAAAGAGTAACGAACCGGCAACACATAAACGAAGTGGCTGAGTAAGCCACGAAAATCCTTTGTGTATTTAGTGCTTCCACACCCACTCCGATGGGATCGTTTTTGCTTTTGATGGGATTTCCTACGGTTCGGGCTTGGAAGGGCCCAAGCTGGAAAACATCCTTTAGCGGGCCTGGGTTACTCGCAGAATCTTGGGAGTTGTAGTCCAGAAACACACTTGCAATTCTGGGAACTGGGGAGGGGGGGGGTCTGCAAGGCTGGTACTTTTCCCTAGCAAAGCTCTTCCCACCCCATTGACGCCATCTCTGAAGGAGTCAGAGGGCATGAGGAGGACCGCTCTCCCCTTACGCCTCCGGGCTGTCCTTCCACCCCTTTATCAAAAAACGACTCCTTTCTTCCCATTCTAAGCTTTAGACTTGGACAAAGAAGTGAGCCGCCTGGCTGACACTCAAAGGAAACAGAAGGTTGA